ACAGGCGCGTGCTACCACGCCTGGCTAATTTTTTATTTATTGTAGAGATGAGGCAGGTCTCGAACCTGCAGGCTTGGGCAATCCACTCACCTCAGCCTCCCAAAGCATGGGATTATAGGCTGAGCCACCAAGTCCAGCTTCTTTTCTTTTTTAAAGTCAGGATCTCACTCTTTTCCCCAGGCTGGAGTACAGTGGTACAATCACTCTTGGGTTCAATCAACCACACACCTTGGCCTCCCAAAGTGTTGGCATTACAGGCATGAGCCACCTTACCTGGCCAATTTTTTTTTTTTTTTTGAGTTGGAGTCTCACTCTGTCGCCCAGGCTGGAGTGCAGTGGCACACTCATGGCCACTGCAGCCTTGACCCACTAGGCTCAGGTGATCCTTCCGCCTTAGCCTTCCAAATGTCTGGAACCACAGATGTGCATCACCACGCCTGGCTGATTTTCTGACTTACTGTAGAGACAAGGTTTTGCCAAGTGGCCCAGACTGGTCTCCAACCCCTGGGCTCAGGCAATCCTCTTGCCTCAGCCTCTCAAAGTGTTGGGATTGCAGGTGTGAGCCACCATGCCCTGCCTGACATGCCAATATTTTATTTAGTATTATTATTGTATAATTATATTTTTAAGACTACAGTTCAGTAGTGTTAAGTATATTCACATTTTTGTGAAACAGATCTCCAGAACTTTTTCATCCTGCAAAACTGAAACTCTACACCCATTAAACAACTCCTCTTCTCTCTCTCCCCCTAGTCTCTGGTAACCACCACTTGACTTTCTGATTCTATAAATTTCACTACTTTGGATTCCTCATATTTGTTTTTATTACTGGGTTATTTCATTTAGTATAATGTCTTCAAGTTTCATCCAGCCTCTGACTGGAATCCTTTCCTTTGTAAGGCTGAATACTATGCCATTTTATGTACATACCACATTTTGTTTATCTATTCTTCCTTTGGTGGGCAGTTGGGTTGTTTCCACCTCTTGGCTATTGTGAATTGTGCTGCTATGAATATAAGTAGGTAATTATCTCTTTGAGACCCTGTTTCCAATTCTTTTGGATTTATACTCAGAAGTGGGATTGCTGGATCTTATGTAAGTTATACAGCCTGGGTGACAGATTGAGACACTGACTCAAAACAACAACAAAAGTTTTACCGTATAGCTACAGTAATAAAGACTGTGGTATTTGTGAATGGGTGAAGGAGAGACACAAAGATTAATGAGACAGATTAGAAAACTCAGAAACAGACCCACACAAACATGTCCAGTGATTTTTGACAAAGGTGTAAAAAGCAATTCAGTGGAGAAAAGATGAACATTTCAACCAATGATGTTGGAACAACTGGATTCCATAGTTTAAAAAGAAAAAAAAGAACTTCTCAAGTCTTGCACCATATAAAAAAATTAGCTTGAAATAAATCACAATCTTACATGTAAAATATAAAACTATAGTTCTTTCAGAAAAAAGATGTAAGAGAAAATCTTCAGGACTGAGGGGGAAGACAGAAGTCTTAGTCTTGCTATCAAACACATATCTAATAAAAAAGATTAAGGCTGGGCTCGCTCACACCTATAATCCCAGCACTGTGGGAGGCCGAGGTGAGAGGATTGCCTGAGCCCACGGGTTCAAGACCAGCCTGGGCAAGTTGGTGAGACCTCATCTCTACAATAAATCAAAAAATTAGCTGGGTGTGGTGGCACGTGTCTGTGGTTCCACCTACATGGAAGGCTGAGGCAGAAGGATTGCCTGAGCCCAGTAGTTTGAGGCTGTGATGGCCATGAGCATCTAGCCTGGGTGACAGAGTGAGACTCTGACTCAAAAAAAAAAAAAAAAAAAAGGAAAAGATTGATAAATTGGATTTCATAAAAGTTTAAAACTTTTGGTCTGTGAAAATCCTATTAAGAATATGAAGCCGGGCTTGGTGGCTCAGCCTGTAATCCCGCGCCTTTGGGAGGCTGAGGTGAGTGGATTGCCTGAGCCTGCGGGTTCAAGACCCGCCTGGGCAACTCGGAGAGACCTCATCTCTACAATAAATAAAAAATTAGCCAGGCATGGTAGCGCGTGCCTGTAGTTCCAGCTACTTGGAAGGCTGAGGCCGAAGGATCGCCGGAGCCCAGCAGGTAGAGGCTGCGGTTGCCAGAAGCCGCCACTGCACTCCAGTCTGGGTGACAGATGAGACTTCAACTCAAAAAAAAAAAAAAAGGCTGGGCTCAGTGGCTCAGCCTGTAATCCCAGCACTTTGGGAGGCCGAGGTGAGTGGATTGCCTGAGCCCGCGGGTTCGAGACCTGCCTGGGCAACTTGGCACGACCTCATCTCTACAATAAATCAAAAATTAGCTGGGTGTGGTAGTGCACGCCTGTAGTTCCAGCTACTTGGAAGGCTGAGGCGGAAGGATCGCCGGAGGCAAGCAGGTAGAGGCTGCAGTGGCTGGGAGTGGCGACAGAGTGAGACTCCAACTCAAAAAAAAAAAAAAAAAAATATGAAAAGACAACTACAGACTGAGAAAATATTTACAAACCACATATCCAACAAAGAACTAGTATATAGGATATATAAAGATCTAAATAAAATAAAATAATAAAAAGAAAAAAGTTCTAAAAACTCAACAGTAAAAAACAAACCAATTAGAAAGCAGGCAAAATACATAAAGACCAATTTACGGATGGCAAATAAGCACATGAAAAGATGTTCAGCACCATTTAGTGAATTAAAAATTAAAACAGCTGGGCGTGGTAGCTCATACCTGTAATCCCAGCACTTTGGGAAGCCAAGGAAGAGGACTGCCTGAGCCCAAGGGTTCGAGACCAGCCTGGGAAACTTGGTGACACTTTGTCTCCACAATAAATTAAAAAATTAGTCGTGTGTGGTGGCATGCACCTGTGTTTCCAGCTACTTGGAAGGCTGAAGTGGAAGGATAGCCTGAGCCCAGCAGGTTGAGGCTGTGGTGGCTGTGAGCGTGCTACTGCATTTCAGCCTGGGCGACAGAGTGAGATTTCAACTCCAAAAAAAAAGCAAAGGAAAAAATTAAACCCATGAATTTTGAGGGAACATGGAAAATTGAAACTGCAATGAGGTATCACTACAAACTTAAAAGAATGGTTAAAGGAAACATTAGAGACAACACCAAATGCTGGCAAGGATTTGGGGAAACTGCATCACTAGTACATTGTTAGTAGGATTGTAAAATAATACAGCCACTCTGGGAAATGGCAGTTTCATATAAAACTAAACATGTAGCTAGGCTCAATGGCTCAGCTTGTAATCCCGTGCTTTGGGAGGCTGAGGTGAGTGGACTGCCTGAGCCCGTGTGTTCGAGACCTGCCTGGGCAACTTGGCGAGATCTCATCTCTACAATTAAAAAAAAAAAATTAGCCGAGCATGGTAGCGCGCACCTGTAGTTCCAGCTACTTGGAAGGCTGAGGCGGAAGGATCACCGGAGCCCAGCAGGTCGAGGCTACAGTGGCTGGGAGTGGCCACTGCACTCCAGTCTGAGTGACAGAGTGAGACTCCAACTCAAAAAAAACACAAAAAAAACTAAACATGTAACTACCATATGGCCCAGCAATTGCACTCCAAAGCATTTATCCCAGAGAAATAAAAACTTATGTTCACACAAAAATACGAACACAAATGTTCATAGCAGCTTTATTCATAATTGCATCAAATAGAAAACAGTCAGATGTCCTTCAACAGGTGAATCATTAAACAAATAGTAGGACGTCCATATCAGGGAGTAGTACTCAACAATAAAAAGGGAAAAAAAACCTACTGAATACACAGAATAACTTGATCAATGGCCAGAACATTGTACTGAGTAAAAAAAAAACAAAACAAAAAACCAATCCCAAAAGGATTGACTTACATACTATTTGATTTTACTTATATAGCATTCTTTATTTTTTTTTGAGTTGGAATCTCACTCTGTCACCCAGACTGGAGTGCAGTGACCGCTCCTGGCCACCACAGCCTCACCCTGCTGGGCTCCGGTGATCCTTCCACCTCAGCCTTCCAAGTAGCTGGAACTACAGGTGCGCGCTACCATGTCCGGCTAATTTTTTGATTTATTGTAGAGATGAGGTCTCGCCAAATTGCCCAGGCAGGTCTTGAACCCACGGGCTCAGGCAGTCCTCTCATCTCAGCCTCCCAAAGTGCTGGGATTACAAACTGAACCACTGAGCCCGGCTGCATTCTTTATTTGTTGAGATGGGGTCTTACTCTGTCATCCAGGATGGAATGTAATAGCATGAACCTGGCTAGCTGCAGCCTTGACCTCCTGAGCTCAAGCGATCCTTTCACATCAGCCTCCCGAGTAGCTGGGACTACAGTTATGTACCACCACACCTGGCTAATTTTTGCTTTTTTTTTTTTTTTTTTTGAGTTGGAGTCTCACTCTGTCACCCAGACTGGAGTGCAGTGGCCGCTCCCGGCCACCACAGCCTCAACCTGCTAGGCTCTGGCGGTCCTTCCACCTCAGCCTTCCGAGTAGCTGAACTACAGGCGCGCGCTACCACACCCAGTTCATTTTTTATTTATTGTAGAGATGAGGTCTCACCAAGTTGCCCAGGTGGGTCTCGAACCCACGGACTCAGGCAATCCGCTCACCTCAGCCTCCCAAAGGTGCGGGATTACAGGCTGAGCCACCGAGCCCGGCAATCAAACCATTTCTAGTTCTCAGAACTTGCCTTCCACATTTATAATTCCATACCTTTGCTCAAGCTGTTCTCTCCACTTAGAGAATTGCCTTTCCTCTAGTCCTGTACTGCCTAGTACGGTGTCTACTATCCGCATGTAGCTATCAAGCACTTGAAATGCACCTCATGGAATGAGATGTGTGAGTGTAAAATACATACCAGATTTCAAAGACATAATATGAAAAAAAGATGAAAATTAATTTCTTTTTTTTTGAAAGAATATTTAATCATATTTAATGAAACAGTTTTTGTGAAGTTCTTTTCAACTGCTTTTTAAATTCTTTTTCCTTATTTTATTTTTTTGCGCTTCCGCTGAGCTTTCAGTTACTTTTTATTAACTGCTTCCAGAAGCCGCAACAGGTGCAGGAAGAGGTTGATGATATCCAGGTAGAGGTTGATGGCAGCTAGCACATACTCTTCAGGTGACAGTCTGTGCATCAGCGAGTGTGTGTCATAGATGATGAAGCCACAGAAAAGAAGGGCTCCTACGGCAGCAAAGACCACCTCCACCGTCTCGCTGTAGAAGAACAACCTCAAGAATCCTGACAACCACAAAATCCAAAAGGCAGCAAACAGCCCTGCTCCAAATTTGCTGAAATCTCTCTTGGATTGGAGAGTGTAGGCAGTCAAAGCAAGGAATACTGTAGTCGTCAGTATAAAAGCTTGCAGAATAATCCGTATGTCATAGAAAGTAACCACAAAGGCCACAGTCAGGGCTTCCATCAGTGTAAATCCAAAAAGCAGGTACAGGTTGAGGGGATACTTATGTCTGTGTAGAGTCAAGGCAAAAATCAAGCCCAAGGACCCAAAGGCAGACACCAGAATTACTGCAGGACTGTTATGCACAAATGTCCGTACAGACTCGAAGTACAAAAACACTGCGAAAGTCATCGTAGTCAGGAGGACTTGCAGAGAAAGGATGCCATACACTTTCCTCAGGAAGGCCATGCGGATGTGCATGCTGGCGGAGGCCACGTTGCTGCCGTAGTTGAAGTCGTCCTCGATGGAGGAGGCCGGGTAGCAGGGGTCGCGCTCGGCCATGGCTGCAGCAGCTCCGCCCGCCCGACTACCTGAAAATTAATTTCACCTCTTTTTACTTTACTAAAATGTGGCTACTACAACATTTAAAATTACATTCATGCCAGGCACCATGGCTCATGCCTGTATTTGCAGCACTTTGGGAGGTGGAGGTAGAAGGATTGCCTGAGCCCAGGAGTTCGACACAAGCATGGGCAATTTGGCAAGATCTCATCTCTACAGTAAATCAAAAATTTACCCGGGCCAGGGTGGCCGCCTGTAGTTCAAGATACTTGGGAGACTGAGGTGGAAGGATTGCCTGAGCATAATAAGTTGAGGTTGTGGTAGCGTAAGCAGGCCACTGTACTCCAGCCTGAGTGACAGAGTGAGATTCCGACTCAAAAAAAATACTACATTTATAATTTTTTTTTTTTTTTTTTTTTGAGTTGGAGTCTCACTCTGTTGTTCAGGGAATCCTTCCGCCTCAGTCTTCCATGGAGCTGGAACTATAGGCACTCGCCACCACACCTGGCTAATTTTTTTATTTATTGTAGAGATGAGGTCTCGCCAAGTTACCCAGGCTGGTCTCAAACTTGTGGGTTCAGGCAATCCTCTCATCTCATCTTCCCAAAGTGCTGGGATTATAGGTGTGAGCCACCATGCCCGGCCATGATTTTTTTTGAGTTGGAGTCTTATTCTGTCACCCAGACTGGAGTGCAGTGGCTACTCCCGGCCACCGCAGCCTCTACCTGCTGGGCTCCAGCGATCCTTCAGCCTCAGCCTTCTAAGTAGCTGGAACTACAGGTGTGCGCTACCATGCCCGGCTAGTTTTGATTTACTGTAGAGATGAGGTCTCACCAAGTTGCCCAGGCGGGTCTCGAACCCATGGGCTCAGGCAATCCACTCACCTCAGCCTCCCAAAGGCGCGGGATTGCAGGCTGAGCCACCAAGCCTGGCGATTTTTTTTTTTTAATAGCAGTAACCTTCATACTTGGGTGATGTGTTCTGAGACTCCCAGTGGATGCCTGAAACTGTGAATAGTATTGAACCCATATACCATGTTTTTTCTTACACATACATATCTATGATAAAGTTTAATTTATAGATTAGGCACAATAAGAGACTAACAACAGTAACCAATAATAAAATAGAAAAATGATAACAGTATACAGTAATAAAATTTATCTAAAACTTATGAATTGTTCATTTCTGGAATTTTCCATTTGATGGTTTTGCACTGCAGTTAACCATGGAAAGTGAAACTGCAGATTAGGGGAGGAATAGAGTACATTTCTTTTCTTTTTTTTTTTTTTTTTTTTTGAGTTGGAGTCTCGCTCTGTCACCCAGACTGGAGTGCAGTGGCCACACCCGGCCACCACAGCCTCGACCTGCTGGGCGATCCTTCTGCCTCAGTCTTCCAAGTAGCCGGAATTACAGGCATGTGCTACCACGCCCGGCTGATTTTTTTTGATTTATTGTAGAGATGAGGTCTCGCTGCACAGGTGAGTCTCGAACCCGTGGGCTCAGGCAATCCACTCACCTCAGCCTCTCAAAGGCCCGGGATTACAGGCTGAGTCACCAAGCCCAGCCAGAGTACATTTCTATTGGACTCTGGATCTACTGTGTAGCTGCTCTGGATCTAGAAAGTTTTGACCCTTACATATTGACAAGGACGTGATGCCTCAGAATTTTCAAATTCAAGTGTTTTAATCAGAATTATACAAATTTCAGGGAGTTTTCAGGGAAATTGTATTTATGACAACAAATTCTATTTAATTAATTTAATTCTTTGACCAATTGTTTTTTATATATTTTTTATTTTTTTGAGTTGAAGTCTCACTCCGTCGCCCAGACTGGAGTGCAGTGGCCGCTCC